GGCGCACTGCCTACGTGGCATGGCGTGGAATGCTGATGTGGCATTCTGGCACGGCATGGTCTGACGTGGCACGTACCTGTGTTGCGATAGCCTGCTGATGAAGCGTTGACATGGCATGCCAGTGTTGTGTGTGTTGCAGACATCTATTGCTGACGTGGCATCCCGCCTCGTAGACCTTTTAGGTCTTTGACGCTGATGTGGAAGACTCCATAGAGCTGCTGCGTTGGCATGCCAGGGGTGACACGTGGCATGCGTAACACGCTGCTGTGGGAGAACTGTTGAGTGTGCACTTGTGTGCTGGCATACGGTACAGCTTTACGATTTGTTGTAGTGTCGAGTGCTGGCCCTTGTGTTTGGTTGCACTGTTTCTGCAGATGGTACAACCGTAGAGGAAGGAAGCTAACCATTGATTGTGTTGTTGTTTTGGCTGACCTACTCACCTGTTGGTTGTTATGTGGTTGCTGTGCATACTCACAAGTGTGTTGTTGTCTTGATCACACTGGTCGTGGCTGCGGTACCTGTACACTTGATGTAGGACGTCATCACACTTCGAACAGACAACAAAGTTAGACTTAGAAATTAATTGAGAATTTGTTCCTTCTTGTCTGCCTTGATTATTTCTTGGTGTAGGAATTGTGTGTGCCGTGGAATTTATTTTTGTCTTCTATAATTATTTATTGTGCGGCGAATATACATTATGAAAATGGCTTACCTCTGGAATTCCCTGCATCTCTCTGTCTTGACTCGATTTATTCCTTACTTCTTCTTCCCCGTCACCATGATCTTCTTCGCTGATGAGGAAGGTGGTGACCCGAAAACCCGTGGTCAAATCGAGACCAAACGGCAAGAGATGTTGGGCCGTTTGCAGCAGTTGATGTCTGATCTACATTCTGATGGTGTCGATGCTGAACAACAAGTTCGTCGTCAGTTCGATCTGCGTGCAGCAAAAAACGAACTAAAGGAGGCAGAGACTTCTGTTCAGTTGTTGGAAGCCTGGACCCATGTACAAAAGATCATTATTCAGAGTCGACAGGCTCTGGATAAAGTTGTACTTGATAAACTGTCAGAAATAACCAAAGGGAACAAAAAGGAAGAAGTAGGAGAAACAAGAAAGGAAAAGAAAGAACCTGAATTGTCTGAAGAAATAATGTTGGGAAACATCAGACAGTTGGAGGATGCATTGATTGAAGAAAGAAGGAAGATTGGGGAATACAGCAGGATAAGAATAGAACGAGAACAGCAAGATAGGAAAGTGGATGAAATCAAACAACGACTCATTTTTAAGGAACCGAAATGGATCTTTCATCTTTCCTTCATAATCTGATGGCCTACCTCGCTCACCTTGAGTTAAAGATTGACAACAACACCGCGGCCCTTGAAACTATGTCTAGAATGATCAAGGGAAAGGGTAAGATGTCAGTTGAGGAGGAGGCTAGAGGGGGAAAAAAAAAACAGGAAAAGTTAATGAAGGATGCAATGAATGAAGCTAAAGTTATGCCGGAGACGCCCTAGAGTTCAAAGAAGGAACCGGAAAAACCGGCAGAAAAGAAGAATGATACCACCAAAAAGGAAGAACCGACTAAAGAAGCAGAAAAACCGAAAAGGAAAGAAAAGGTAAAAATGAAGCTGCTGTTTACCTACAACAACAAGAAAGATGAAAACTCGTTGTTGTGGATCGCAGAGATCCAGACTTATTGCGGCACCGCTCCTGTCGAGCTTGAAAGCTAAGTGGCCTTCTCTACGTCATGTCTGGGAGGAGTGGCCAAGTAGTGGGTGTTGTTTGAGGCCAACGGTGTTGGCTTCAAAGACATTGGTGAGTGGGCTAAGACCCTCATGTTGAGACAATTTCTCCAAAAGATTAAGGGGAGATTTCTTGACAAAACAACGGGCGATAAGGCCTTTGATGAACTCACCACAATCGGCCAGAAGCGTTGGACATCCGTGGATGCATTGTCCCGTAAGGTTGATCGTCTTTTGCAGGTACCTGGACTGAACCTGCAGGATAACCAGATCCTCCACATCTACTCACATGCCTTGCCCGAGCCAATTCGCGGACAGCTCGTGGCCGAGGCCAAGTTTGGTAAGTACAACTATCGCCAGTTTCGCGATCTCGCTCTCCAACGAGAGCAGACGACCGCACAGGCGAAGGGTTCTTATGCTTCGGTGGTAAAGTCAGTTCGTGGATATGGTAAGCGGGTCCTTCGGCGGCAAAAACGCCAGCATCACATGCTTGTCGTTTCCGACGACGATACCATGGAGAAGTTACCCCTCGACGAGTCTGAGGGAGGAGGAGGTAATGGCGGTAGTGAGTCTAGGAAGGGTGATGTCACTGCCGTAGTGGCCAACAAGGGAGGCCAAGGCCAATGGAAGAAGAAGAGGAGGCCACGCTCGTTTTCCGAGCACCTCGACATCACATTCCGGAAGCCCTGGGAAAAAATGGGGATGGCACGTGAGGAATGGCAGTCCAAAATTGACAACCTCCAGTGCCTTAAGTGTGGGACCGTTGGGCATGTGATAGCCTGGTGCCCACTAATTTGTAAACCAAAAGCGAGCAGCCAGTAGGAGTAGCATCTGCTCCTACTGAGTCAAAGGGTGTAAACAAAGGTAAGGCGCCAACAACCCCTTCTAACCCCTCGACTCTTATGGTAGAGGATGGCTCTTCTTCAGGCCATCGTCCATAGCACCCTGACACTGTTCTTTGCTCTGTCTCACTGGACGATTCCCTTGACGAACTAGGTAATGAACTCATAGCACTTTGGAGTTCGTGGGCTAAGAAAGCTAAGTCTAAGGGTGAGTTAATGATCGCGGATATTGAGATTGTGCGAGTAGGTGCACTATTAGATCCAGGATCGACGCAGTCTTACATCTCAAAGAAAGAAATTCACAAGTTGCATCTGGGAATGAAGGTAAAAGATTTACCTCGACCTATCACGTCTATGCTGGCTGATAAAAGCACGGTCACTGTCTCTCAATACATTGATCATGTAAAATGTTATTTCGGGACTAAGGAAGGGAATAAAATTTTACACGAGATATCCTTCCTAATTGAAAAGAACCTGCCTTTTGACATGATTATGGCAATGGATTGGCACGAGGAAGCCCACCCAGAAGTCAGGTTCAAAGAAAAAAATGTAAAACTAAAGGACGAGAAGTCCGACCTGCGAGCGATAAAGTTGTACCATAGGTCTGACTCTAACTCTACTCTGTCTTTTTGTTGCATGAGTTACTCAACCTTCAGGTCAATGGTTTGTAAGAAGAATTTGGATCAGGATGTAATGATGCTACTCATCCTATCCTCCTTCCATTGAAAAACTTTTGGACGAATATAAAGACTTACAGACTGAGTGGATGGGAATCACTGAGCATGCTATTAAGCACATGATTGAGATTATTCCTGGAAGCAAGATTCCCAAGGGTCCCATCTATCAAATGTCTTCTAGGGAACTTGAGGAATTGCGTAAGCAACTGCAAGAACTTACTGAAAAAGGATGGATTCGACCCAGCTCATCTCCTTATGGTGCTCATATCTTATTCGTACAAAAGGGAAGGTGAACTTAGACTATGTATCGACTATCGTGGGTTGAATGTCGTCACTGTCAAGAATGTGGAGCCACTTCCGTGCATGCAGGTATTTTAGCAAGATTGATCTTAAGTCAGGGTACCACCAGATCGAGGTGGCTCCTGAAGATCAACACAAGACGGCTTTCCGAATCGGGTATGGTCACTACGAGTTTGTGGTTATGCCCTTTGGATTGACTAACGCCCCTGCAACCTTTCAAAGGTCCATGAACGAGTTGTTCCGTCAATGGTCGGACCAATTCGTAATTTTCTATCTCGATGATTTCCTTATGTACAGCAAAACACTTGAGGATCGCGAAAAGCATTTACGAATGGTTCTTCAGAAGTTGCACGAAGGCAACTTCAAATTGAATCCCAAAAAGTCTAAGTTCGCTAAGCTTGAGGTACTATACTTCGGGCACATAGTGAATGAAGAGGGACTAAGGCTCGAAGAGAAGAAAATAACAGCAATCAGAGAATGGCCTCAACCTAATTGCGCCTATGAGAAGACTATTAAAAAAAGAAAAACTTCGGTTGTGGGACAAAGATTGTGAGTCCTTTAAAAAGTTGAAGTATGTTCTAACTCATTACTCTGTCTTAAAAATTGTTGATCCTTCTCTCTCTTTCATCGTCACTACTGACGCAAGTCAATATGGGATTGGGGTTGTGCTATAGCAGGACGGCGGTAAGGGATATAGACCAATAAAGTTTATGTCCAAGAGACTTCCGTCAGAGAAAGTGACCAACTCCACCTATGAAAGGGAACTGTATGCCTTGGTTGCTGCACTAGATACCTGAAAGCACTACTTGTTAGGGAGGCACTTCACTGTCTATTCAGATCACTCCACTCTGAAATGGATAAAGACTCAGCCTAAACTCTTTGATAAGTTAGTGAGATGGTCCGCTTTCATCGATATCTTTGACTTTGAGCTAAAGACAATCAAAGGAAAGTCTAATGTGGTTGCGGATGCTTTGTCCAGGCGTGCAAATTTATTTGGAACCATTGTCTCCTATCTCGATATCAGAAATGAACTAAAGGAATTGATACATAAGGGTTATGAGAGTGATCCTATCTGGAGTCCTACTATTGGGACCCTACGGAAAAACCCTGAATTATTCCCAGAGTATCGAATGACTGATGACTTACTCTTCTACATGGATAAAACTGAAGAACGATTATGCATTCCTCACCAAGAACAAATCAAGAGTCTAATCGTTGGGGAATGTCATGACGCTGAGGGTCACTTTGGTTTTAACAAGACATATGTCGATGTTTGAAAGCGCTTTGAATGGAAAGGAATGAAAGAGGATGTACTAACTAATGTGCAGACTTGTCTTGTCTGTCGTAGGAACAAACCCTCGCATGAGAATCCGTTGGACTGTTGAGATCACTGCCTATTCCAAGTGAGCCAAGTGAGTCTATTTCCATAGACTTTATGAGTCTCGCTAAGAGTCGAAATGACAACAGTCAGGTAATGGTCATTGTAGATAAATTGTCAAAGTATGTTATGTTCATTCCTTTACCTGCCGAAGCCAAAACCGAGCTGGTCATCCATAAGTTCCAGATGCGATGGGTTTCTGAGTATGGATTCCCAAAAACCATCGTCTCTGACAGGGATGTTCGGTTCACAAGTCTACAATGGCAAGAGTTGATGGAAATCTATGGCACTAGGTTGACCATGTTGTCAGGTAAACATCCTGAAACGAATGGCCAAACTAAACAAATGAACCGTCTGTGCCAACAACTTTTGCACATGTATGTCCGACCCGATCACATAGATTGGGATGAGAACTTGCATAAGATTGCGAGTGCTTATAACAACAGTATACATACTGTTACAGGTAAAACACTTAATGCACTACATAAAGGTTGGAAGCCTCGAGGTCCCATTGATGCTTTGACTAGGGACCAGATTCAGAGATTACCCCCAAGAACCCGTTAATTTGCAGTTTTGTATGAAGAGGATATTAAAAAGGTGAAAAAGAATATACAGAAAGCCGAACTTCAGATGATTGAGCAGGCCAACAAACATCGTCGGCCATCGCAGTTCCAAGAAGGAGATCTGGTTTGGGTGAAGTCTAAAGAATTTGCCTTGGACGAAAACGTATCTCAAAAACTGCTACCTGTCTACTACGGTCCTTTTTTTTTTTTTTTTTTTTTAAGAAAAACACCCCCACCAGTGTTAGTGATGCTGATAAGAGCAGACACCACTAGCACCTGGGGAGAGGCTCCAACAATTGGTGGGGAGCATCACCTGCTGGAAAACGGGTCCAACGTCCCATATACAGATTGAAATTAGAGTACATCCGAAGAACAATGTGGGAGGTTCCTGCCAACATTGATTACCCTGGAGTCCAGGGGATTGACTGAGCAGGACAACAAAAAGAGGGGGGGGGGAACCCTCTTCGCCCTGAACCCGGCGCCAGATACCTGCTGCTACACACTAGTTCCTCCCTCCCCCTATCTTTGACTCTATCTACTGAGAAGTGTGAATATTTTTTGACGTGGGCGCTCCGTACATCCGACAACCTGCCAGCATTGATTGCCCTGTTTCCAGGGGATTAACTGTGCAGGGTTAGCAATTTGAAAGTCCTTCATACCACCGCCTCTTTGGTCTGCATCAGACCGCCAGATCACACATGTTTCCCTAGCGGCTACTTCCGCCGATGCCTTCCATGTACTGTTGCCTGAGGCCTTGCTCACTCTGCACCGTACCATTGCATGTCGACCATTGCCAGCTGGTGGGGTGGGAATGGGTCAGGAAAATTTGTGGATGGTTGCAGCGGGATCTCCTGTCCCACCGTGGTCCAGTCTCTGAAGCTGATAAAGTAGTCTCTCCTGAACTCGTCCTGGTTGCATTCCTGGCAGGTTCACCGTCCCATTGGACGAATGCGATCCAACCCCCATTCTCACTGCCCAACCAGTCCCCCCAAAATTGCTGAATTGCTTGTGTTATATCTTTGGATGCATGAAACAGATCAAGTTGGTTTTTGACTTTTTGCCACTGTACCCTGAGTTCTTGTCGGATGAACTGTTTTATCATGTCTGTTACTTCCTCCCCAGCTATGCGGACCCCCTCTATTGCAAGGATACAGCGTTTTCTCCAGAGGGCCCACATGACAGCTCTCCTCCCTATCTTGAACATATTGCTTTCAAAGGTGTTGTCAGTGGGGGAGGACCATGTTTCACATAATATGGCTCGGTGTGGCACGACTTACACCACCGTAGCACCCGTCCCTTCTGCTCTAGATATGTACGGTCTATCAGCCAGTCGTTGGTGGGCAGGCAACGATGTTCTATTTGCCATTGTAGCGAGGCCGTCTTCGCTGGCCTGGACCTTGTGGTGGAGAACCACCGGATGGGGCGGATTGCTTCAGTTCCTACATTCAGATGAGACCTCCATCAATCCTTCACCGTTTCTTTTATATTCACTTTTGATCGCAACAGCCGATAGGTAGCCTTCACCGTTAAGGTATGTAGCTTCAGGTTCTCCCCGGTCCTGCGTTTTCGCGGGGGGGACCACTGCCACTCCTTGGGATCAAAGGGGAGCTCAGCCACGGGGGTGTCTGGCTGGTATGCGATCCACACATCTTTGTCCTGTAGCACGCGGATCCTGTGCAGGTCAGAGTTTCTCCACCATCTCACCACGTCTGGGGTGTACCGGGTGAGCACATTGTCCTTACCAATTTGGAAGAGATTGGTCAGGGTTTCGTCCGCACGTACCTCTACCACGTTGCCTCCACTTTCCGGATCGCCCGGGGCTGCTACCCAGTCCCCTTCTGCCAGCCGCGACCCTTTGCGCAGGATGCGGATCCAGTCTAGGGGGTTAGCGAAAATCAAGGTTTCGATGTGCTCTTCAACTTTGTGGCAATACTTTAGTGTGGTCCTTAGTTGCTGCGCAGGTTTCCAGTCTCCCACTTGTGTGTCCCATATATCTTTTATTCTGGATATACCTTTTTTAACCCAGCTGTTCCACGGGGTGCTCGAACTGCAATACACTCTGCTGTTCCGGTCTGTTATCCGTCTGTTCCCAAAAAGGGGTTGGCGTGCCACCTCTTCCCACCTGGCTGGTGGGAATTTGTCGGGTAGCGGAAGTTGGCGCCACGCATTCAGAACTCGGGTCCAGAAGTCGTCCCTGACCAAATCCGAGCGGGTTGTGTCTTGGCACGGAGCTTGCCCGTTTCGACGGGTCCTGTGAAGTTCTCAAGGTGATTGGGGATGCAGATGGACATTCCTATAGAATAGATGTTCCCCCACACCTACGGACCTACCCTGTTTTCCATGCATCTAAACTGCTACCGTATGTAGAAGGAGATAATTTTCCTAACAGGCCATCTATGTTTCCACCCTCCATGAATGGAGGATACGAAGTTGAGAAGATTCTAGAATATGGCTATTTTTCTACAGGTGGCAGAGGAAGACCACAAAAGCAGTACAAGATAAAGTTCAAGTCTCAACCTCTGTCTGAAGCCATATGGTTTAGTAAGAAAGAACTCTTACCTGCTGCTCCTAACATCGTTGCTGCATACGAACGTGGGTTAAAAGATAATTAATGTCTTTTCTGCGATGAAACTCGAAAATTGGGCTGGCAGGAATGCAATAACCCATGCCATATGCCTCGTGGAAAGTCTGAGGGCCTTGCCAGGCCGCACTCATACCCAGGCCGAAGGGGGGAAAACAGGACCCCACGTAAAGATTCAGGGCCTGGGCGAGTGACAGTTGACTAAAGTCAACTGTCGGACCCCAACAGTCTAAGTCAAAGTGTACACAGCCGAGGCCGCCGGTCAAACACGCACATTTGTTTGTATGCAGGTACCCAGACAGCATCAAGACCAAGGAAAATCTGCAACTATGTACAATCCAGGGCCTCGGCTGTGAGTCGATCTGTACGACTGTGAAAAGGTGACCTGAGGCCCGACATCCTCGTCAAACACTACTTAAGGCTCGGTCTCCAGGATGTCAACATTCAGTCTTGCTATGCTGCTTTGACGCTGGCTCGACTCTGACTGGACGCTGGCATTGACGCTGGCTCGACGCTGGCGAAATGCTGGCTTGACGCTGGCTGTGCGCAGGCACTGTGGACGACGACATGGGACTGTCGCAGCATGCTGGCGCTTTCATTGCTGATGTGGCACTGCCACCTGTCTACCCTGCTGATGAGGCGCATGCCACTTGTCTACATTGCTGATGTGGCACATGCCACTTGTCTACATTGCTGATGTGGGCCTGCCACCTGTCTTCATTGATGATGTGGCGCATGCCACCTGTCTCTACATCTGACGTGGCATTGGCCACGCTGTCTACATGAGGTGACTGGTTGCAACAACGAGGGAGATTGGGATCTGTGGATGACTGGGATCTGGTACTCATCTGAGGTTGACGTCATTACCGTATTCTGTTGTTGTCTTCATGGTCTTCACGAGATAAGAGTGCCACGTGGCAGGGTGTGATCAGGATTTATCATGCTTGTTATCGTATACCAGTTGATGACTTGGAGGCGAGAGGAAGCCCGGAGAATAAGTGGGGTTTGATTGGATTACTCTTGTGTGATCATTGTTTATCTCTTCCACCTTCTCCTCTGTCGATTCCCCCTCCACTCTATTCGTCTACTGGTAACGAGATACTGTTTCAGATATCACTTCACGTTAACTGGAGACTTTGTGCAGATCTGAGACTACTTGTGCTTTGACGTCTGCTGAGTATCTGCCAGACTGGGTTCATTACATCTTCTTTCTTTCATCTTCTTCTTCTTCTTTCCCTCTCTCTCCTCTAAAGTTCATTCATTTCGTTTTGCAATTGGACGGCATTGTACTTTCTGATGAATGTGTACTTCGAAATTGACCAGGATCATAACAAGTGTACTTAAATGAAACAGCTCACAATGCAGAACCAGTTCAGAAACACTCAATGTAGTCACAGAATAATCAGTGAGTCACCAGAAACTAGATAGACGTAGAGAAGCAATAGAGAGAGGGAGAATAGTTTCATTAACAGTCAATAATACAAATGAATCGGCTCTTCCACCCCTCGTCACCTCCGGGACCTTCTCCACCAACACGCCACCTCAGCAATGCAAGTCTCTCGGTGAAGACACTGATGAAGTCTCTCTGCAGGTACCAGCTACGGCGCCCAACCTCCAGCATCAATGCTGGCTATGGAGGTTGGTGCCCGCCCTCTAAAGCCTCCTGATGTAACCAGCAGCAACTCCAGTATCACCAGCACACGGGTAAGTCGAGGAAAGCTTCCCACTCTCTCTCTCTCTCTCTCTCTCTCTCTCTCTCTCTCTCTCTCTCTCTCTCTCTCTCTCTCTCTCTCTCTCTCTCTCTCTCTCTCCACTCACAGTCCTTCTCACTCTCTTCCTCGCCCTTCCGTTTGTTGGGTAAGTTTTCTAAAACGAAAACACACAGTAATTAATTGATTGAGTTTGCACCCTCTCTTACTGTGAAATGCGCTGTGGTTTCCGTACAAGGAGATGGAATGCCAGTGACCTTTGGTGCCTTCCCTGAGGACTGTGTATATGTATATACTATCTACACTCTCAAAGCTGTTGCCTTGCAAAGACGAGCCTGGAAAAAAAAGAAATCCTTCGTTGGGCATGTACTCCTGCCTAAAAGGCAAAGAAGACCTGTGGGAAGCTTAGTCCTGTCATCTTCATGTCATTTTGTGCTTGGGTTGTGGAAGTTGTCTTTCAGCACTCTTCATATCGTGTAAGGTGCCTGGGTTTGCTCTTTCTTTTACTTCATAGGAGCTCATTAAGTTCAAGGCCGGGCTGAATTATGAAATTAGTGATCCCATATGCCAAAGATTAAGTGAATACACACCTGTGCAACTATAACATCACTGTCGGGGACCCATTGCACGTAGCTGCAATAGTTCAATAAGCTCACGCGCTCCTGTTCATACAACGGCATCCCAATGCAATCAATGTTACATCAGATGAACGGAAGCCATCCCATAGCCTACATTGGTTCTATTTCAGTAAAAGTTGAATGCATGCCTAAGAATCTGCTATTCTTTATTAGGCTCAAGATTAGTTGTTTGCTTAGTGCAATGGCGGTTGAAGACAAGAACGAGGAGGATGGGAAAGGAGAGGAGGTACAAAGAGGAAGACACAGAAGACAGGCATGAGAGGCAGAGGGGGTGGGAGGACAATGACACTGTTACATGCTGAAAGCCTACACACGGGCCCCTCACGGGACCCGAGGTTGGAATAGGGCCCCCAGGTCGCGTCACCGCAACCTGAAGGCCCTATGGCATGTTTACTTGGGCCTGCATCAGAAAAACGCCAGCTTTAGATTATTTTATATTCTTTTATTTATTTATTGCTGCTGTTTTTCTAACGGTTGTACTGTTGTCCGTTTTGTGGCCAGGTACACGTTTTAGGACCAGGGCCAGATTCAGGCCYAGAGGCTGAGCTCCTAAAAACGYTTGGACCTTTTCTTTTGTTTTCGAACAGATTGCTACCTGTTCGGACCCAGGCCGACGTTGAGGCCGGGTACGTCCGCACAGGACCGGTTCGAAGCCAGGTACCAGGAAACTGAATCCTGGACAGGGCCTGGACGTCCGGTAGGGACCCAGGCAGGCCGTTTTAGGCCAAGGGCTGAACCAGTTTCAAAGCCTGCGATCTGGACCGTGGATCGGATTTTGATCTGCACGGCCCAGAACGCAGGCCATGGGTTTTCAGTCCTGGCCCAGCGCTACATAAGCTGGGCCGTTGCCCAGTTCAAAAACAGAAGGTACTAGGAGAAATCGAGCGTTATGCTGGTTCAGGAACTTCGCTGCTGCGCTATTTTGGAGACTCCCTGCTGCGCTATTTCGAGACTGCAGCTGCGCTGCTCATTGGCCATGAGGCACAGCGCTGGAGGAGTCCAGCGCCGAGGAGGGTAGTGGAG